CCAAAAAGCCTGAACCCACCACACCCAAAAAGCCTGAACCCACCACACCCAAAAAGCCTGAACCCACCAACCCCAAGGAGCCTGAACCCACCAACCCCAAGGAGCCTGTACCAACCACCCCTAAGGAGGCTGCACCCACCCCACCCAAGGATCCTGCTCCAACCACCGCGGAGGCCTCTACCCCGGCTACCCCCATGAACGCTGTAGAACTCACACCAAAGGCTCTTGAAAACAGTCCCAAGGAGCCCACTCTACCTACAACCGAGGCTCCTGAAGGGACCAAACCTGAAATGACCACCACAGCGAAGGATGAGACAACAGAAGGCACGCACACCACAACGGAAATCACAACGGCTACATCTAAGAGTACAACAAAAGAGACAGCGACTCCAACGGAAGACGAGACCACTGAATCCAAAACCAGTACAACTGTGAAGGTAACCACCACAACCAAGGACACCACGACATCGGCCAAAGTGACTCCTAAGGAAACAACGCCTGAACCCAAAGTGACGACTGCCACAAAAAAGACAACCACAACTGAAGAGACTGTGAACACCTCTGAAGAAACAGTAACTGAATTGGAAGATACAGCTACTAGTTCTAAAGTGACAACTGCTAAACCCCCAAAGCCAACCAAAGCGCCCCAGATGCCCACTACTACCAAAAAGCCAAACACAACACCTAAAGTGAGGAAACCAAAGCCCACGCCATCTCCTCCAAAGGTGCCCACGTCAACAGTGCCTACAGTGGACCCCGCCTCCTCGGAGGAAGCCCTGCTTCAGACCACCGCCAGCTCTGACCCAGCTCCTAACCCAGAGGATGAAAACCCAGAGGATGAAAAGCCAGAGCAGGAAGACGCAGATGCTGCTGAGGAGGAAAAACCTGACGTGATCCTCAGGCGCCCTGGGTTAACTCCTATCGTCGTCCCAGGCGCTGACTTCATAGTGAGGGGACTCAATCAGGGCATTGACGTCAACCCCATGCTTTCAGGTAAGGGGGATTGTTATTCAAAGTTCGTAATGCTAACATAAGCCTACCAGAACCGGAATGCCCTGATTTAATAGCGTGTGTTTACCTAGGGCCCTGAACTTGTTAATTTGTAAGGTTTCACAGCTTCTCTGCAGGTGAGCAGAGGAGCAGTCACAGTAAGATGATTTGATCTTTGGAAAATGGTTAATGACCTAGCATTAGGAACTGAGCACGCCTGTGAGCAGAGCCAGGGTACAGAATGCCAAAAGTATTTAGTTGGGAGTCTATCCTTAAAAGAAAGTACAGTGCAAAGCAAACATCTGCAGTATTATCTTTCATAAACCAATTCCAAAGGGCAATCAGAACTGAAAAATGCAATGTCATGTTGAGATTAAACATGCAATAAAGAATTTACTTGAAGATCAGGTAACCTGGTCCATTCCAACTCTTTTTTTTTTTTTTTAACAAAGAGAGAGGGAGAAAAGCAGAAACAGTGATGTGAGAAACATCGATTGGTTGCCTCCTGCACAATGGAACCCACGACTGACTGGGAATCACACCTAACCTGCCACCTTTTGATGCAGGGGCCGATGCTCCAACCAACCGGGCCACAGTGGCCAGGCCATCACTTATTTTTATATACTTTTTGAACAGTATCACCTTTAAGTAAAAACAATTATGAAATGTATCACTTCTCTCTCACCTGTGAAATACACACACCTCAAACTATATGCCCCTCAGGAGCTTAGGAAAGGGTGAATAGAGGAAACAGAACTCTGTGAAAAAAACCATAACACTTTCTCATTTTGTTTTGTGTTGACTTAATTTTTCAATTTGTTTTAGATGAGACTAATTTATGCAACGGTAAACCGGTAGATGGACTGACTACTCTGGCCAATGGGACACTAGTTGCATTTAGAGGTGAGCTCTGCACACACTTCTTTTTCTGCCCATCATTTTGTTCCCAGCGTTTATGAGAAGCAAAGCCATAGGAGGTGGTAGTTTGGGTTGAGCTTTCTGAAGGGGAACCTGATTAATGACCTTACCTCACACAGTGATGAAAACCTGAGAGCAATTGCTAAAATATTGGATTAACAAAATTAGACATGTTAAGAGTAGCAAAACAAACGGCTTGGAATGATCCTGATTTTTTGTACCGTTAGGAATAAAAAGGTAATTCAAATTCCAATTTCCTATCAAAGGAAGTGGCATCAGGATTTGTCTTCCCTGCTCTAGTGTATTTGAAAATAACAAGCTGACTGCGATGGATTCGTGTTACTCTTCGTAGAGGAATCACAGAACAGCAGTTACATGTTAAGTCTCTGTACTGACACTAGTGCAGTCTTACACTTAAATCTGAAAGGAAGCCCCAGACTTGCTCAGTGGAGGCTGGAGAGATTTCAGTTGCCCTTTAATTATAACTGAATTCTGAAAGATAAAGAAATTGAGAGAAAAGGGACTTTCTGTGAGTCACAAAGTCAGAAGACTCTTTCTAGAGAAACTGGAAAACTAAAATATTTCAACGGTTGTGCTGAACTTGACTTGAGAAAGATCTACTCTCAGAAACATTCAAACATGTTCTGTATTCGTATAGTCCTCACAAAACTTCTAGTCTTGGAACACTCATTAACCCGTCCAGTGTGTTCAAGATAATCAGAAGTTTTTCACTTTGGTCTCTTTTGGGATAGGACTTCATGGTCATTCAGCTTGTAGGCTGATCTGTCACTTTCAATGTTAGGTCATTATTTCTGGATGCTCAGTCCACGCAGTCCGCCGTCTCCTCCTCGGAGGATTACTGAAGTCTGGGGCATTCCCTCTCCCATCGACACTGTTTTCACCAGGTGCAACTGTGACGGAAAAACTTTCTTCTTTAAGGTAAGAAAAGTATCTTTGTAAGGGAAATCAGCAATTAGTTATTCTTTGCTTATTATGAAAACATGAATCAGCCTAAGCTCCACTTCAGAAGGGTTTCCATATTTATTTTTATTGGAGAGAGGAAAGGGGGGCGGGAGAGACAAGGAGAGCATCTATGTGAGCAAGAAACACCGATTGGTTGCTTTCTGTACAGACCCCAACTGGGGATCAAGCCCGAACCCGGGGTATGTGCCCTGACCAGGAATCGAACCTGCACCCGTTTTCTGCTCTGGGGCGATGCTCCAACCAATGGAGCCGCCTGGCCAGGCAGGCTTTCTATATTTTAATAAAAGATTCTATCACAATTTGGTAACATTAATGGTCAACTTATTCAAACCCCAAAGTTAAAACTTTCTCCCTATACTTCAACCTAAGAATGAATTCCTAATCTTTTCCCCCCAACGCTGTTAACATCACTTTCTCTTTTAACATCAGGATTCTCAGTACTGGCGTTTTACCAATGACGTAAAAGATGCTGGGTACCCCAAACAAATTGTGAAAGGATTCGGAGGACTGAATGGAAAAATAGTGGCAGCACTTTCAGTACCTAAATATAAGGAAAGACCCGAATCTGTGTACTTTTTCAAGACAGGTATGTGTTACATAATTGACAAAATTACACAACTTTGAATAATTGATTTGCCAGCAAAATTTTATGCCATATTTTCATTTACTACTGGGTTTACTGTCAAAAGGTATCTTTAATGGCTGGATCAAATATTTAAAAAGATATTGAAGAAGTGTTTAGATCTCTCAACATGCAAATAACAATTTCACCTGTTTTCTGGTCACTGACATAAAGAATGTCATCATTTACTCTCACACGAAGTTAAATACATAACTATGCAGTCTGTTGCCTTCATTCATCGTGCAAGTAGTTCAAGATTTGGAAATTACTTTCATAATACTCTTCACTAACAGCCATTATTGTCTAGACATACTTTACGGAGAACAGTTTCTTCCACCTTGTAAAAGCTCTTTTCCATCTTGGGAGGGGGGGATTACATTAATTCTCATTTATGTATGATTTTCTAATACATAACAGGTGGCAGAGTTCAGCAGTACACGTACAGACAGGAACCCAATAGAAAGTGCTCTGGGAGGAGGCCTGCCCTGAATTACCCAGTCTACGGAGAAATGACACACGTTAGGAGGCGTCGCTTTGAACGGGCTCTCGGACCTCAAACACACACCATCAGAATCCAATACTCGCCGCCCGTCAGAGTCGTTTATCAAGACAGAGGTGACTATTTTTTCTGTTAAAAATCCTTACATATGAAGTAGGTGTAATAGTTTCTTATAAAGTAAAGCTTATTAAATATGAATGCTGACCAAACAACCCTAAAATTTTAAGCTTATTGATGCCAAACATCAATCTGCCTCAGTGAATGATCAAAGATCAATACTTTCTTTTCCTATGTGCGTAAGGTATGCAGTTTGAATGTTTGTTCATTATAGTAAATACCATTTATCAAATATCTCTTACCAAGAACATTATATACAAATCTGTGACTCTCAAAACAGTGACAAAAGGTAGGTATTCGCACCATGTCTGAGGGCAAGGGCTACGCACTGTAGTTAAATAACAGTCAAGGTAACAGAGCTACTAAGTGGCCAGGTTGGAATTAATACCCAGGTATGTCTGACAGCTGCTCTTTCCAACGTCACCTACAGGTTCCCTCCACGATGAAGTTAAAGTGAGCGCACTGTGGAGAGGACTCCCCAGTTTGGTGACTTCAGCTATATCACTGCCCAACGTCAGAAAACCCGATGGCTATGACTACTATGCCTTTTCTAAGGGTGAGTTACGTAAAACCTCGGTAGCTTCCCAAAGGTGTGATCTAATCTCTGAAATACAAATATAATCCAAACAAAAACACCAAGTGTTCAATGGTGACTGAGGGTGAGAAGTTAAACTATATAGTACTCATTCTAACTGCCCCGAAGAGGAATTTTAAATTTTTGCTTTACTTTCACATTAAGTTGAAAGAATTGCAACTGAATTCTGCTGCAGCCTTCACGAGATAAGAGTCTATTATGATAAAACATCAATTGTGTAAAATTGCTACTGGAAACAGCATTTGGTATTTAATGGGGGGCTTGTCTGCCATAAAGTTATCCTGATCTACATCATTACACAGTCCATAGGATCAGAAATAAGTTCCCGAGAAACTAATTTTATTAATTAAATTACATTACCCAAGACTCTGAAACATCCGGTATTTCCTATGTAAATGGCATCAGGGTGTTGTAAAAGGACAAAACCCAAGTGAGTTACTATTTTTAAAATTTACTTGGTTTTCTCAGACTTTTACTTTGAAAAAGGAGAGCTAAACCCAATTTGATTAAGAGGGGGTGAAAGGTCAATCTGTCAAGGAAATTTGTTTTTCTTCTTGTCAGAAAGCTCAAATTAATTAGAAACATTTCTGGTATTAAAATGACAAACACTGCCTTTGAGTGTAATAATCAACATAATCTGTTCTTAAGTTCGAGAGCTTTGTTTTCCTTTTAACTAATGAAATGATTTACCTTCTATCTAGATCGATCCTACAACATCGACGTGCCCAGCAGGACAGCGAGAGCCATCACTACTCGTTCTGGGCAGACCTTATCCAATGTCTGGTACAACTGTCCTTAGGCCGACGGGCAAGGAACAGGCAGGAAAGCAAAGAACGATAAACTTGACACTGAAATACCTTTTATTAATAAAGAATGTTGAGATAAGCATATCAATTTAAATACAAAAATGTTTTCAAACTCGACAATCATAACACTAAAACAGACTGGACAATCTTATTCACAGTTATTACAATTCATAGAACATTTAATTAATATTTCCTCTATTTATTCCGCCTCTCCCTCCCATTGCATGGCTCACACCTGTAAGAGGAAAAAAAGAATCAAACTGAATGAGTCTTTTATGTTAACCCAAAACTAGAGTATTTACTTACTCTAGCTCATTATAAAAATTGTTTTCAAAAACTGTTACCATAAACTTTTCACATCTTCAATGAAAATCATTACAATGAGATTAATATTTTTTATGCCATGAATGCAATCTCTAATAGTTACATTACAAAACATGGAGATATTAAAATTTTACATGTTTTACTAGCTAAACAAAGTCACAAAGCTTTATACTGTTGTATAAAAAGTATAATAGGCAGAGATGTACCAAACGACCACATAGCACTTTTTAAACCCTACTCTGAACTCAAGGAAGAAATGAGTAAACAGAAGCACATGTTCACTACATACCCGTGGCACATATATCTGTCTACAAGAAGCTTGTGTACTAGTGAGCATCCCACACTCAATGTGTAGTTATTTAATCAATCCTTGGAACATATTTTAAAAATAGGATACAAGTTGGAACCTTAGATAAGGATTAGATAAGGATTTATTATCATCCCACATCCTTTCACGTAGTCAATATGGTAGAAATTTACCTCTCTGTCTGTTAAACTGACGACCACGGACACCTTGTCTCAATGTCGTCTGAAGTCTCACTCGTCTGAAAGGCTTTGGCTGACTACTGCTAGTATCTAAGAAGAAAAACATTAAGATACAAGAAAGCAAGTCAAAAAACAAAAACAGCAGTTATAATGGCAAAAACTGACTAAATGAATGCAGGGCTAAAATGCAGAGGAGTCCATTTGTTTTCAGTATTTAAAAGTTTTTTAACTAGGAATTCTTAATCAAAAATGGGTAAAAAGAAAAAAACTTCTTTAAAAAGAAAAGTTCTTGATTTTTTTCATTCGTTCACTCCACTGACTTAATAAGTATTTACTTGGTGCCTCTCCATGTATCACACACTGTGCTCAGGGCTGGGGAATACGATGGAAAATGAAAACAAGAAAGTAACAGTCCACTTATAATACACTGTGAGTCACACCCAACTCTCTTTTTCAGATACCCCAACTCCAATCATTAGAAATCCCGCCAGCTCTAATCTAAATATACATCCCAAATCTGACCTCTTTTCACAACCTCAGTGCTCTACAAGCCTGTCTAAAACATCATCATCTTTACCTTCGATTATTGAAAAACCCTCCAAATTTTCTCCTTGTTTCTGTCCATTACTCATTTTCAGTCTCTTCTCTACATGGCAGCAAAACTGACAGATCTTTAAGCCAGATCATGTCACTGCTGTTTGAAGCCCTCTCAAAACTTCCTTTATCCATGGAAGTCAATGCAATTACAATGACCTGCTAGAAGTACCTTCCCCATCTCATCTGTCACCAGCTAGTATCTCTCTGTCCGTACTGTAGTCCAGCCACACTGGCCTCCTTGCTGACCTTGAACACATCACACTCCTGCCTCATAGACTTTGCATCTGCCATTTCTCTCGACCTAGGACACTCTTCCCCCAAATGATTGCACAGCTTCACTCCCGAACCTCCTATAGGTGTTTACTTAAGTGTCACTTTCTTAGTAGTGCTTTCTGTGAAATTGTCTGGCACATAGCAGGCACTCAAATATTTGTTGACCAAATGAATAACTGCTCAGATGGGAAAGTGTAGTGTTTTATATTATCAAATAAATTTAAAGAGATCCTAACTTCATATTATATCATAAAAGGGAACTAGAACCATATTTTTCCATGCAAGCTCTAGTAAGATACAACTAGTTCCAATTCTGCTGAGAAAAAACAATTCTCATGGGATGTCAGAATATAACTGGGGGCACCAAACTTCACTAACTGTATTATTAATAATTATGATAGTTATAATTTTTCAGCCTTACTCTGTGTAGTAAAATATTGAGTTATAACATTTATATACATCATTTCTAATCTTGGCTGCAAGATTAGTTATGAATGTGCATATTTCACAATGAAATGTGCAGTGACTTAAAGTTACTCGCTGTTAAAAAGTGGATATGAGATTGGAAACCAGGGTTGTTGGCTGGTGTGTCAGAGGTTGGTGTGTCAGAGAAGAAGCTGAAAGGGAGAAGAGATATTGAGATGATAATGTTCCATGACTGAAAACGTAGTAACTGAGCATGTCTTCCATAACCTGGCAGAGTTTGAGAATGACTGCTATAACAATTCAAAATGAAAGTAATCAGAGTGGATGACTGAGTACTGTATTTCTTTAATAATAAAAGTAACTCCCTACCTAAAAATTGTGAGATAGGTAAGTTGGTATAGTGTATTGTTTAAGACTGGAGTCTCTGGAGCCAAACTTTGTGAGCTTGCACTGGGCTTGCCCATCCTTTACTGCTATGTGACTTCAGAGAAGTGATTCAACCTTTTAGTGCCTCAGTTTCCATGCTTACCACATTGGGTTGATGTGAGAATTAAATGAGTAAATATATGTAAAGGGCTTAGCATATTGCTAAGTGCTCAACAAATGCTATTTTTAAGAAGCACTGCAGAAATAATTTTATTATAAGAAAGAGACATAAAATAGCCTTTTTCAAAGTTGACTTCAAAAACGTGAGAAGCCGCACTTTGAAACTGTTTCCATCAGTAAATTTCAAGCATTTCTTTTAAAGGAAAAGAGCTCCTTCTCACCTCTCAACTCTCTGTATCAAGTCTCTTGCAGAAGCCTAATATGTAGAACAAATAAAAATGGAGCTGCTCTGGTTTAAACAGGGGTAAGAGAGAGGCCTAGAGTACTACTCCTTAGCTTCCCTCCAGTAACCCACCCCCCACAGCCCCTTTAGCACCACTAATACAACCAATTCCCTTTAATATAAACCAAGTTCCCTGTAGTAAAATTTCCCTTTTAAATACAGCATTTTAAAATTAAAGAAAAAAAGATGATAAAACTCTTCCTAATAAAAGTGTCTTTTGAAAACAAGTGTGATGTGTAAAGCTGTGCTGCAGTGGACAGCAGGAACTCACCTACGGAAGAGCTGGAAGGAGGGTCCTGGCTGGTGGACGGGAGGTCTGACTCATCAGATGCCTGCACAGGCTCTTCTTCCTGCTGGCTATCAATTTCTAGGCCTGCCTCTGAACTAATACTGAGAATGGAAAACAAAATGGTTAGAAAATACAAACTGATCCCAGAGTGTATCCTCTGTTTCCAAACTCCTTTCGTCACAGTTTATCACTTAATGTAGAGCTCTACTCCAACTCGAAGCTGCCAGCTCTGACCCTGGAGGCCATCTAAGAGGGGCAGGGAACAAACTGCTTCTTCCTCCCCCCTCCTCTAATACATTCCAAATTTAGTTTTTGTTTTTCCTCTTTTTTGTTACATGTTTTTTTCTTTTTGAGAAGGGATGTCTAACATTCTTAACATTCACAGGAGATATATTCTCCAGATTTTGATAAATCTCAAAACAACTTTCTAGGAAAGTAGAGTAGTAAAATAATTCACAACAGTTCCAACGATTAACAGACTACTAACTCAGCAGGGCTCTAGCACAGATGAGACATGCTGTGGGTAGGATCCCTGGCTCAATGGCTATAATTCCACTTCCCTCTCCCATTCTAGAAAGCACACCAAAAAGCAAGTGAGGAGGTAAGAGTACAAGGACAACTTCAGTCTGCTCCAGTTCTTATCACCTGCGGAATTTAATATAGTTAATAGTAACCATGTACCTGAAAGCTCTCTCTCATGACTATGTGCTGATGAGGCGTCAAGCCAAAGCACATGGGGCTGAAGTCAGACACCAGAGGTACGTGCTCTGACTCTGAGCTTTCTCATTTGTATTGTGTGAGTTAGAAATGACATATATGAAGTGGCCTGCATACAGGGTATGGAATTGATGGCAGCAAGTATTCTCAGCAGGGTCTGTAACCTCCCTCAAATTAAGTAGCACTGTGTTTGAGCATAATAAATAGACCTGCTTATTTCTTCATATGCTAGAACTGGCCTATGATTATGCAAGGAAATGTTGCTAAATAAAACAAAATCTTTGAGTTCTACCTAGGAAATCTGGGTTCTACTTCTAGCTATGCTTCTGACCCATGAAACAGCCCAACTTTTTATTTTATTTGTAAAAATTAAATTAGGTTCCACCTTGAAAGTTAAACTTCTTCAAGACCACCTTGTTTATAACAAATGTGTTACACATGTAGTCAGATCTTGAAAACTACTAGATAATTTCTAATTTGTAAGAAGTTCTAAATGCACCTAAATAAAGGATAAATAAGGTTTACTTGAAAACCCACTACTAAATGGAAAGGTGAGTCATTTCCTAATATTCCTAATTTTCACAGAAAGACTTCCTTCTTGGGGGAAACTTCAAGTAGCTATGTTAATGGAAGAGTACCAGTGATTTTAAAGAAATACTTTGCTCTAGAATAAATATATCACACAATTTTCAGGCAGCTAACCTTTGTCTTCTATAGTAACAACTTCCAAGTCCAAAAATATTATTACATTCAAAAATTAGTCTTTCAAAATACATGGTTCTGTTTACTTTTGTAATAGGGTGCTATTGAAAATACAGCTCAACAGATTGTTTCCCGGCTAAAGGAAAACAAATTCAAGTCTGACATGTCTAAAGCGAGCAAATATTCCAAAGTATACATTTACCCTTCAGATTCTGCCTCCACAAACACTTCATCTCCATCATCCCCTGCTGCTGTCTCATTGGTAGTGGATAAAGTGCCAGTCGATGTTGTCACCATTGGAACAGACTGGGAGGCATGCTCCGAAGCATCAGAGGTGGTACTCTCAGTAAATACGTTCACTTCAAAACAAGGCCAGAAAAGCAATGAACACTCTAACTTCGTGATTTACATAATTTTCAGCCAAAAGATGCCTCACAAGTT